GGGGGAAACGAGTCGTCCACAGCGAAAAAAGCGGAAGGATTTCTATCCAAGACAAGCCCAGATACCTGCGAGCAGGAGAGGCTGTCCAACCGAGGAGATTAGCGGTGATTACTACTGTGGATTTAAGCGCCGAGTCTGACCGAGATAAGGCTGAAAAGAGAGAGGAAAGGAGGAGGAGGAGGAGGAGGAGAGAAGGAGGGCAAATACGCTACTGCGCCATATCTTGCATAAGGCGCAGAAGATGAAACCAAACACGAGACGAGAGGGAAAGAGGACAGCGAGAAGGAAGGTCTCTCTCTCTCTCTCTCTCTCTCTCTCTCTCTCTCTCTCTCTCTCTCTCTCTCTCTCTCTCGCTCGCTCGCTCGCTCGCTCGCTGGTGTACGGTGCTCTCTCTGTCTCACTCACGCGTGTGTCCGCGCGCGCTCAGACACGCGCACGCACACAGATGTACATGCAGACAGGTCGTCGAAAATATCCACTAGGAAAGGAAGTTCGGCGATCGACTTGCGTCACAAAAAGGAGGCAGCAGATGGAGAGGACAGCGAAAGAGACACAGATAGAGCGAGGACTCTCTATCTCTCTCTCTTTCTCTCTCTCTCTCTCTCTGTGTGTGTGTGTGTGTGTGTGTGTGTGTGTGTGACACGAGCAAAAAGCGGAAGATCGCTAGGAATGCTCCGTTTTCTCCACACCGCGACTCATCAACACGAATCCCAGACTTCTCCCACGTGTCACCAGAGACATCTAGCCTTTTGTGACTCGGCACCTATGATCAGAGTACGTGGCTAGAAGCCTCGCAAGGAGAGGAGCGGTGCGGAAGATCTTGATCATGTTGTGCTCTACCACACACTGCTACGTCACCCAAATCGCCGCCCCTCGACACGTGTCCGCCAGATCGTTCATCATGCCGGGCGAATGACTCCCCTGCATCAGAAACTTGACAAGCCAGCGATCGCCCCCAGGATTCTCTTTCTCGAACCTCCTCCCCCCTCTCCCAACCCTCGTTTTCTCTCACTGCGCCCCTTTCTCCCACTCCCGCTCGCTCGCTCGCTCGCTCGCTATGTGTGTCCCGCGGGTGCGTTTCTTTCTGACTCTTTTCCTCTCGAGTTCTGTGTTCGTGTCCTTCTCAGAGAAACACGCACGCACACACCGAATACAGACAACTCACAGAGGACAGGATTTCGAGTCGCGCCTCGTTGGATGTGGTTGGGCGGCATCCCACTTACCCGGATTCTCCTCCTCCCGTCGTCGATCCTCGTCATCTACTGTTGCCAATGCAGGTAAGGGACCTCTCGGCCGTTGTCCAGTTCGTATTGTTGCACTGTTCCTCTCAGGTTTGGCCGTGTGACGGCTGGGCTGGGCTGGGCTGGGCTGGGCTGGGTTAGAGAGTTTTCTTTTTCCCCTTGCTTCTTTTCCACTATTGGAAGCTGACTCAGAAAACGTAAAAAGAAACAGTGAGACGAGAAGCCGAATGCAGATCGCTGAGTCAGAGCGACGAGGATGCATCTGGTCCTGACTGGTATGAAATCATCGGGTCCTCTGCAGGAAAACCGCGACTCCGCAGCTCCAACTGGACCTACATCTCCCGATAGGGGAAGTCCAACCGTCGTTCGCTCAACCGGGTTCCCGGTAAGTACGAGCTCACGTCCGTCCCAGGCTGCATCGGCGCGGCGGTGCGTGAGCGGGAGCTACACAGCGACCCGCCGGCGACCTATAGAGCAACGTGAGGTCATAGGCACAAAGATCGGGCCCACTCTCGGCAGGAAGTAAATTGATTGAATGCTGGAAAACGCCGACCGGTCCCGTGCACTTCGGCCCCGGATGCTTTAGCACCCCGTCCCGTCTTTCTGACCCGCCTTCGCTGGGTCAGTTTTTCTTCAGCCCGCCTATTGACGTCCCCGGTTTACGGAAAACTACCATACTCTATCGTTTTCGTGTCGGTACGGTTTCCGCTTGGCGCCTTCTTTTTTTCTTCTTTCTTCGTCTTCGCCCGCCGGAAGCACATGGCGCCCGGGGAAAAAAAGGCTGAAACGCTTGGTTCGCCGTTCGATGCCCGGCCACGGGATGATCCGACGGACGGTTATCGCCGTCCAGGTGGCCTAGAGTGGACTTGCTGCCTGTTTGCCTGCGTGGCCTCAGGGTGGATTGACACACCGGCTAAGGGCCTCGATACACTACTGCCCGAGTGCATCCTCAGCTAGAGGGCGCAAAGATACGCCCGCCAAATTTTGTCTTTTTCGGGTGAGTGGGCAAGGCCCTAAAGTTCCTTCACTTTCTCAAGCTCGGACTTTTCCCCCGTCACCCGCTCTTTTTATTTATTCCCCTTCGTTTTTCCTAGGGCGACAACGGCATTGGGTAGGGTGTCGGTTGTCTCCCTTTTTCTGTGTGTTCTGGAAGATCCGGTTCGCGGGGGTCCTGTAAGGGCATCGCCACATCACTTTTTTTTTTTTTTTTTGCCAAACAAAACCACATTCAGTAGAATTTCAATCCAACCCCGCTCTAGGCGATTTTAGTGCACTTCGTTATAGTTGTTATTAACCTCTCTGTAAGAAGATAATGGTTCCCTTAGGCTTTAAGGCCGTGAGGAGTTGTTTAGCCTCTTTCTTTCTTCTTCCGGTTTGTTGCGGGTTTCAGGCCTTGTGGTAAGGTTATTTTAGGTGGTTTTTATTGGTTTGTGAGGTTGTTCAGGCCTGATGCGCTTTTTCTTTGGAGTTTCAGGGTCGGTTTCAGGTTCAGCGGGTATCAGGACAGAGGTCTGGTTTTGGCCATTTCTGTCGCTGGATTTCTCACCCCTACACCTATTCCCTATGATGGGTAAAGGTCCTATTTTTTCATTCCGGGTTGTTCGTTGAGGTTTTCCCGGCCTCTCTTTTTGGTGTGCCTAATCAAATGAGCCGAGTCTTCTTGTAAAAAAAATAAAAAATAAAAAAAAATCAATTCACACCACTCTCGAAATGTGCAAAATGCCCTTGAGTACTTTAGGGATATAGTCACTACCCGTAGACCTTTTGATAGTTTTGATTCAGATCTCTCTATTGACTCTTCATTTCGGAACATGACCTCAGCTTGTATCTTGTCTCAAGCAAGGGTGCGGATTGAGGCCCCAATCAGAGAACAAGAATTAACAAAGGCCGTTAAACTGATGGTGCGAGGGAAATGCCCAGGTCTGGATGGGTTACCGGTAGAACTGTTTTCCAGTGCCTGGCCAGCCTTCGCTTGTGACGAACCACTTCCCGAACCCATGCTATCTTTCGTTCCCCTTTTGTGCTTGTATCATACCAACCCCATAAAAACCCTGTTTCGTTTTCTTGATTTTGGGTACCGCGTTTTTGGCCCCCATCTTTCGGAAGCTTTTTTCGAATCCCGGGTTCTGCTTT